GCACACGCGAGTGCATGGGAGTGTATAAGTGCACATTATCCATGGTTTGCAAGAAGCCTGCCCCTCCCCCTCAGTCTCCAAATGTCAACATGCCTGCCCTCGGCCATCCCCTCTGACCTGGGACTCCTAAGGAGATGTCCTGTACAATTTGGTTTGGGTGGGAGAAGGAGCACCACACAGGCTTCAAACTCAGCCGCATGTGATGGGCATGTGCAGCCACAGTCCAGTTCTCTGCCTGGCCCTGGCCCACCCCACCCCTCCCCACCCCTCCCCATCCCTCCCCATCCCTCGGGTGCTGCAGTTAAAGGCAGGCTGTGCAGAGTTCAGTGAGGAGCAGAGCACGTTGGGTTTGATCCCTGGATATGGTTAATGTGAGGAGGTGAGTCAGCAGGAGATCCCAGACTCCCAGGGCTTCTCCCCCTTTGCTGGGGGGCAGGGCGGACCCAGCCAAGTGCCAGGGAAAAGCAAGAACAGTGGAGCACTTTGTGCTCTCAAAGCACTTTTGAGCGTGTGTTCCTTCACGCCTCTGGCACTGGGGCAGGGCTAGTGGGCTTGGCTGGTGAGAAAACAGGTGCTGTGCTGAGCACACAAGATGCGGGATCTCACAGGAGGGACAGTTCTGAACTCCTCACAGGTAAAGCAGGTAGCCTAGAGGAGCTGAAGGATCCACCCGAGACCCAAGTTCAAGGTCAGGTCGACAGCCCAGGTACCTCCCATTTTGTGCCACTGTTTCCCAGGTGCTCCAGATGGAGTGCCGTTTGTGACCCTACTATTATCAGTGTCACTAGGGGCTGCCTAAATCCTGCCAGAGTTCCCATCAGGCAGGTTCAACTGTGTATTCCCATACCATCGTAGCCACCCATAGCCACTCACACAGGGGCAGACATTTCACCAAGTGTTTGATGTGCCTTATCTTGTTTAGGCTTTACAACATCAGGTATTATTCTTTTCCATTTGACAGATGAAGAGACTGAGGTTCAGAGAAGTTGAGCGATTTGCCCAAGGTCACATCCAATAGATGTACATGCTGAGTTCTTATAACCCAGTCTACTTCCTCCAAGTCTTGGTTTGGCATTCTGAACCTTGCCAGCCCCAATACAGAAAAGCTTCTAGAAGCCCATTCTCCTCCAGAAGGCACAGTGGAAGCCGTGGGTGGAGGGAAGAAGACTTCCCCATCTAGTCTAGGACTTGGTGGTGGCACCAATTGGTGGCATCCTACCCTGAGTTGACAGAAACTGACTCCCTCCTAGGTTGGGAGTTGCCAGGGCTGTCCCTGTGTCTGGTCAAGGTCTCCTGTGCCCAAAAGTCACTGGCCCTGAAGGACATCCAAACCCCCAGATTATCATCTGTCTACTGCCAACGTCAACATTCCACGCCTTTACCTTCAAACTTGGAAACCTGTTCATTGGCCAGGCTCATGGCTCTGCTGTGGACCACCCTGGCAAACCTTCCATGACCATTTCTCTAATGTCAAAACCAGGGCTGACCTGTTTCTGCAATTATCCAGCATGCTGCTCCTTGGCGTGGGGACAAAACGCTGGCCGGCTGCCCTGTCTCCCTTTCAGTCTGACTTCCTCCACTTTCTCCTTTCTCCCATTTCCTGCTCTGCAGAAACCCATGCGTGAGTGCTTCAGAGCTCACCTCTGACTCTGGACTTGGGTCTCCACGTGGAGGGCAGCTACCGCTGGACCTTCCTCTCCCAACTCTTTGGAATCCTCCTGACACACCCAGCTGTATACGGGGTGGAGCTGAGTGTCACATCTGAGCAGCAGCTTGGCCCAAGTGTGGCTGGCAGCCAACTCAGGCAATTTACAACTTGCCCCTTGCTGGGGACATCCTGCCAAGGTATCTTTACCTGGTGACAAATCCCTGTCTGTGCACAGTAAAGGCAAGAATTCCATCATGCAAATCAGGGTCCAGGGCTCTAGCCAAAGGGAATGGGGCTCCTGCCCAGAGTCGATGCTGGCTTCTCCAGCGGGGTGATGGGAGAAGCCCTCTGGGTTCTTTCTGTTGTCCGGTGGCAACCTCATGACCTCACTGATTTGCATTTGGCCATTTCGCTCTTTGCTGAGGTCCCAGGAGGAAAAGAACAAGACTAGTGTGGAAAGAGAAAGGGCAGATTATTCCCAAGATTCCTGCTGAGCAGAGGAGAGGGTATAATATACAGAAGTGCTCCCACCTGAGGGGGATGTATCCAGGACCCCGCTGGGTGCCTGAAACTCTATATGGATAGTACTGAATCTATCTACACTGTGCTTTTCCTATACATACACAAGTTCAATGCCTTTCCTATCTTAACTTACTCTGCTTATCACACACTGGGGCTATAACTTTTGCAGGTTGAGGTTCAACAGCAAAACACATTTATTTTCCTCCTTCACAATTTCACAGGTAAAAGATTCACCCTTTTTTTATTTCAATCTTTTTTTGTTTGTTTTTTTGGTGGTGCTGAGGATTGAACCCAGGGCCTCATGCATGCTAGGCAAGCTGAGTCACAGTACTCAGCTCTCACCCTTACCATAGACCTTAGCAATCTCGGTATATGATTTTTTTCTTTCCTTAAGTTGAGAACTTTCATCCTTTCACTTAAAAGAAGCACTTTACTGCCTCTCTTTGGCATATCCAAATTGCCAGGGTCACTACTCTTGCACTTTGGGGCCACTGTTAAGTAAAATAAGGATAACTTGACTACAAGAACTGCATTTCTGCCAGTCAATTTGATGACCCAGTGAGCTACTAAATGACTACAGGAGGGTAGTATATATAAGGTGGATATACTGGACAAATATGATTCATTCATTCCTGGACAGGAAAGAGTCAAACAGTACAAGATTTCAACACACTACTCAGATAGCTGCAACTTAAAACTTATGAGTTGTTGCTTATTTCTGGACATTTCCACTTAATATTTTCAGATTCACAGTTGACTGCAGGTAGCAGAAACCTTGGGAAATGAAGCTGTGGCTGGATGGGGGTACTACTATACTGTAAAATGATGCTTTCCAGACCTTAATGTGGATGGTGTTAAAATACAAATTTTGTGTTGGTGAGGATGGGGGGAAAAGGTACACTCATACGTTGCTGATGGGACTCCAAATTGGTGCAACCACTATGGAAAGCAGTATGGAGATTCCTGAGAAAACTTGGAATAGAACCACCATTTGCCCCCCACCCCCACCCCACTCCCCAAAAAAACGCTCCTCAATTTATTCCCAGCCAAAGGACTTAAAATCAGCATACTACAGTGATGCAGCCACATCAGTGTTTATAGCAGCTCAGTTCACAATAGCTAAACTGTGGAACCAACCTAGGTGCCCTTCAGCAGATGAATGGATAAAGAAAATGTGGTCTGTATGCACAATGGAATGTTATCAGCCTTAAAGAAGAAAGAAATTGTGATGTTTGCTGGTAAATGGATGGAGCTGGAGAATATCATGATAAGTGAAATAAGCCAATCCCAAAGAATCAAAGGTCAAATGTTTTCTCTGATATGTGGATGCTAATTCACAATAAGGGGGGCTGGCTAGGGAAGAATAGAGGTACTTTGGGTTAGACAGAGTGGAATGAAGGGAGAGGAGGGGGTGTGAGGATAGGAAGGATAGTAGAATGAATCGGACATTATTACCCTATGTGCGTATATGATTTCCCAAACAGTGTAGCTCTACACCATGTACAACCAGAAAAATGAGAAATTATACTCCATTTATGTATGATATGTCATACATAAATGACATATACAAAAGCAAAAAAAAAAAACAAAACAGATTTTGGAGGAGGCCTGGAGTACAGCTGACATTATGTTTTTCTAACAAGCTCCCAGGAGATATTGCAACCAATAGTCTGTGGATCACAATTTCAATAGCAAAGATCGTTAGCCCTCTCCTGTAAGTCACTTAAAGCCTAAAAATTTCATGGGGGAATAGAATATTACCTTTCACAATTAAGAAATCAGATTCCAAGTTCAGATGTATTATGAGAGGAAACTAGTGATATCAATACCATGACCCTGTGGGATACTTTTTCCTCTTGTACCAGGAAACCAAGATTCAGAGACATGAGCTAACACGCCCAGAGTCTCACACAGCTTTTAGTGAGAAGGTTAGCTTTAGAGCCTCTTGTTCTTAACCACTAGACTTGACTTGTATTGCAGGAAGATGAATTCACTAGATGACATCCACTGGGATAGCAGTGGATGTTTGATTGAGGACTATTTTGATTTTGAGGGATGGAAAAACAACTCAAACTTACTTAAAGAAAAAGGAATCGCAGCCGGGCACTGTGGCACATGCCTGTAATACCAGGACCTCAGGAGGCTGAGGCAGGAGGATCACGAGTTCAAAGCCAGCCTCAGCAATGGTGAGGCACTGAGCAATCAGCGAGACCCTGTCTCTAAATAAAATACAAAATAGGGCTGGGATGTGGCTCAGTGGTCGAGTGACCCTGAGTTCAATCTCCAGTACCAAGAAAAAGGAATGGCTTTCATGCATAGCTAGATCCAGGGGTCTGCTTTCCTCTGTGTTGGCATCTTCCTCAGGCAGGCTCCCCCACCCCACCCCCAGTGGCTGGAGAGCCACCAGCACTGCAGCTGTGACCCCGTCACCCAGCCTAGCCATTCGGCAAGTCTTTCTCCCAGTGCTCCCAGCAAGTCCTTCCTTGGGCTCAAGTTAGGCCACGTGTTCACTGAAGAACCCATCACAGGTGGCCGCAGGTGGGGATGAGTGTGGAATAGCCTGATGGTCTTGGGCCTGGAACGCCCACCCCATAAGGACCTAGAGCAGAAAAGGTTGGCTCCTAGGGTCAGGGAGGTTCTACCAACAGCAGAAAGAATGTCCTGGAAGACAGATGTCCGCCCCAGGAAGCCTTGAGTTCTTCCTCCTAGGCCAGGCTGAAGACACAGGAGGCAGCCGCAAGGGCCAGTGGGGTTGGGTGGGGCCACGAGGGTCTGGGGACAAGTGCATGAGGGAGGCGTGGTGTGTGACCTGTGGTCTCTCTGTTCCCAGGAAACCTCCAGCCATGGCCCTGGGCCTCTTCCGGGTGTGTCTGGTAGTGGTGACGGCCATCGTCAACCACCCGCTGCTGTTCCCGCGGGAGAACGCCACTGTCCCAGAGAACGACCAGGAGATCATCCGCAAGATGCAGGCCCACGAGGAGAAGATGCAGCTGGAGCGGCTGCGCCTGGAGGAGGAGGAGGCGCGGACGGCAACCGAGAAGGAGGCCCCGGAGCAGGTGGCGGAGGAGGGCCAGCAGCAGCAGGAGACGCTGGCCTTGAACCTCTGGACCACTCTCTGCATGATCCTCTTCCTGATCATCGAGGTGTGGCGTCAGGACCACCACGACGGGCCCTTGCCTGAGTGCCCCGGTGGGGACGAGGATGAGCTGCCGCTGCTGGGGAGCGCCCCGCTGCGGGGCGTCACCCTGCCCAGTCAGGCCATGCTGGGCCACTTTCACGAGCACGGTATCCGCGGCACCATGGCCGACGCCGCCCGCACCCGGGAGTTCGTGGAAGGCTTCGTGGATGACCTGCTGGGAGCCCTGAGGAGCCTCTGCCACCGGGACACTGACATGGAGGTGGAGGACTTCATCGGTGTGGGCAGCATGTACGAGAACTGGCCGGCGGACAGGCCGCTGCTGTGCCACCTGTTGGTGCCCTTCACGCCCCCGGAGCCCTACCGCTTCCACCTGGAGCTCTGTTGCTCCGGCCGCTCGGTGCCCTTGGACCGCCAGGGCTACGGCCAGGTCAAGGTGGGCCGGGCCGACGGGGACCCGCTGGGCTGCATCTGTGGCAAGACCAAGCTCGGAGAGGACATGCTGTGCCTCCTCCACGCCAAGCAGAGTGGGGCGCAGCCCTGCAGGGAGATGGAGGACCTGCTGTGTGCCCCAGAGTCCCCGTACCTGGACACCATGAGGGTCATGAAGTGGTTCCAGACGGCCCTCACTAAAGCCTGGCAGCGCATCGCCCATAAGTTCGACTTTGACCTTGCCTTTGGCCAGTTGGACACCCCCGGGTCCCTCAAAATCATGTTCCGCTCAGGCAAGGCCATACCCTTCAACCTGATTCCTGTGATCCAGAGTGACAGCTCCGATCTGCACTTTGTCTCCCACCTTCCCAGGGAGCTCTCTGGGGAGACCCCGGCCTCCAGCACCGACTGGCTCCTGTCCTTTGCTGTCTATGAGCAGCACTTCCTCAGGATAACTTCCAAGGGGCTGCCCGAGGGGGCCTGCCACCTCAGCTGCCTGCAGATCGCCTCCTTCCTGCTCTCCAAGCAGAGCGGCATGGAGGGCGCCTGCGGCCTCGGCGCCAGCGGGCTCAGCACCTACCACCTGAAGACTGCGCTGATGCACCTCCTGCTCTCCCGCAAGGCCTCTGACTGGAAGGCGGCGCAGCTGCGCTCACGCCTGCAGGAGCTGCTCTGCTTCCTGGAGAAGAGCCTGCTGGAGAAGAAGCTCCTTCACTTCTTTGTGGGCAACCGCAAGGTCCCCGAGGCCCTGGGACTCCCCGAGGCCGTGCGCAGGGCGGAGCCTCTCAACCTCTTCCGGCCCTTCGTCCTGCAGCGGGGTCTCTACCGGAGGACAGTGGACTCCTTCTATAAGATGCTCGAGAATGCCCCAACCCTTGTCAGTGAATATTCCCTACGTGTCCCCTCCAGTCAGGCCAGCCTGTCCACCAAAGCTGTCATCTTGTAGAGCATGTGGAATTTGAGAGCCAGGAGGGAGGGTGTCTCGAAAGTCCAAGTGGCCGGGGCTCTGCAGCGCACCCGGGGATCCAGGTAGGCTTGGCGGAGAGCCCAGGTGCAGCCTGCCGGGAAGCCAGGCCCCGCGGGCGGAGGAAACAGAATTCCAGCTGGATGCTGATTTGCTTCCCTGCCGCTGAGGCCCAGTGGCAGAGTTATCATTTGGGTTTGGGGACTGGTTCTTTGCAGAGTGCTCTTGGATTACCACAGATGGACAAGAAGGTGACAGAGCACTCCACGGAGACTGAGAAGGAGAGAGTGCCCACGTTGACCTTGAGCGTAATCCATTTCCATCTCGGGCCCAGCCTATGCTCTGTATCAACAGATGCTCCACATGAATGCTGCCAGGGACCCGCGTTTAGATCCTGTACCCCATGTCCAGGAATGCTGGGCCCCAGCCATCTTCAGGCAAAATAAGAATAAGGACAGATGTGGGAATCCACAACCTGGGACCCACAGTGGCTGCCCCTTCTTATAGTGTTGGAAGAAGAGACCAGGTAGAAACCTGGGGCTCCAAGTAGCTCATGCTACACTCAGCTGGGTATTTGGTGGCAGAGGGTTTAAAGGTGGCTGATGCTTTGGCCGTATTCTCACTCAGGTGCACCTCT